CATTGAAGCAAATTAAGTTTTACAAAAAGTGGTCCGATACACAATACAACCATTTCTATCATGAGAGTAACTAGAGGAACAAAAAGACGGAATAGAATCAAAAGTGACAAAAGGGGCTTCCATGAGAGCTCCATGCTTGGCAAGTGTATTAGCCACACCATTTGCTTCACGATATGTGTGCTTGATCAGCACCTATTCAAACTGTTGGGTCAACAATCTTGACGAATACCACAAGACGGAGAAAATTCTGTAGAGAGTGAGCCATTGATGGAGATTGAGGTAGAAGTGGTGCAGATACATGACATAATCATCTTGATCCAAAGGGGGGGAAACCTAAAATGGTTGAGACAATTTTTAATGAAGTCCCATTCAAGGCTATCAAAAGCCTTGTTGAGGTCAATTTTAATAGCCATATCACCCATTTGTCCCTTTTTTTTCTGCATGGTTGACACAAGTTCTTGGGCAATGATGGCATTATCAACAGCAAGTCGCCTAGGGATAAAACTAGATTGAAAGGGACTGATTAAGTCATTGAGGAAAGGTCGAAGCCTAATAACAAGAAGTTTGGAACAAATTTTGTAGATTGTGTTACATAGACTAATGGGGCGGAAATGAGAGATAAGAGTTGGGTTAAGGATTTTAGGGACAAGGGTAATGATGGTTTGGTTGAGGTCTGCTGGAAGGTTCCCAGTTGTGAAGAAGGAGGAAACAGTGGCACAAATGATGTTTTTGGTGGATGGCCAGAATTTTTGGAAGAAAATAGCATGTAGGCCATCTCTTCCAGGAGCTTTAAGAGGGTGAAAAGAATTAAGGGCCGTGAAGATTTCATCTTCTGAAGGGACAGAACAGAAGGTGGGGATAGAATTGAAGAGAGGGTGAGATGGGATCCAAGTAGAATCAAGATTAGAAAGGATGGGACAAAAGGATTTCCTTGTGGTGAACAATTTTTGGAAGGAGTTAGTAATAAAGTTACTAACATCCATGGGTGAGGAAATTTCAACATTGTTCTCATCAAGGAAAGATAGGATTCTATTGCATTTCCTTCGAGAGATGGTGCTAAGGTGAAAAAACTTAGTATTGCGATCACCATCATTAAGCCAGTTGATTCTAGATTTCATCTTCCATAAATCTTCTTCCTCTAGAAGGATAGTTTGGTATTCAGAGGTTAGCTCTTTATGAAGCAGGAGAAGGTTATGAGAATTGTGGGTTGAAAGAGCTTTTTCAATACCCTCTAACCTGGCTAAGATCCTTTTTTTTTTTTTTTTTAAGGATATTGCCAAAAACATGTTTGTTCCAAGAAGAAAGAAAAGACCCAAAATTAGATAATGCCTTGCCTATGGGTAAGGTGTTAAGGGTCCAGAATTGATTAACAGTATGTGGGAAGTCAGGGTGATGTAACCACATAGTTTGGAATCGAAAAGGCCTATTGTGATGGTGAGGAGGAGGGTGTGCGAGAGAGAGAAAGATAGGGTAGTGATCTGAGTGGGTTTTGGGAAGATGTTTAACAAAAGAAAGAGGATGGAGAAGGGTCCATGAAGGGTTTGCAAGAGCTCTATCAAGCCTTGCTTGGATAAGGTGGGGGATGGACCTTTTATTAGACCATGTAAACTTTGGTCCAATAAACCCCAAATCCATCATGTTACAGGTATCTAGGCAGTTTTTAAAGGCCCTGGCTTTAGCTTGGGATATGGAATTTCCCCCCTTTTTATCAGTGTTGGACAATTTCTCATTAAAATCCCCAATTATAAGCCATGGAAGATTAAGTGCAGAAACAGCAACAAACATAGCACATAAATTATCCCATAATATTTTTCTATTTGCAAACTGAGGACTTGCATAGATAGCAGAAAGCAACCAACTAACAGTAGAGTTAGGTGGGCGTACCATAGCATGAACTTCCTGAGCTGTTGCTGAAAGGATAGACACATGCACAAAATCATTGCGCCACAGTATCCATATGCCACCACTATAACCAATAGGTTCCACCTGATACTTGCCATAAAAACCAACTCCAATTTGATTGATGATCCCCTCCGCACGGTGTTGGTTGACACGGGTTTCTGATAGAATAAGTATGTTGGGGCTAAATTTATCTACAAGATCATGGATATTACGCAGGAAAGCTGGGTTTCCCGCTCCCCGAACATTCCAAAATAAGATAGACATTGCGTTGAGTTCAGGGAAATCCAATGAAATTGAGGAGCTAAGTTGTGAGTTGAGTGGCATCCAACTCTGTGGAGCCCAGTTTGCCCTCTTCCAAATCCTTGCAGTTTCCTCCCAGGCGGGTTCGATGTCTATTCCCACCATCTCTATTCCGAGCGGATTTAAGGACCCGACGTAGACGTGCATGTGACTTACTAGGTGGATTGCTCGAATCGAGGCAATGAGGTTGTTGTCCAGTCGTTCTTGGATTCTGATCAGATGATTCACCAGAAGGTGGGTCTCGTAGGTTGTGGTTACAACATCCTGAGTCATCTGGTTTGCCATGTCCAGGGTAGATGTCTTTGAGAGCCACAGATTTGAGAACAAGCTCTGGATTCTGAGTAGAGCAAACTCCATGGGCATCCATTCCATAGTGATTCTGCGGAAGCGAAGGCGAGCTAAGTAGATCATGGCAAGAGTTGGGCTTCCCGTGATTTGAAATATTGGGGATTGAAGAGAGAGCATCTGGGTGCACAAGTGGGAGGTTTCCAGGCCGGGTAGACTCACTATTGGGATTCGAAGAAGGTGAAGGTAAGCTAGTGAGCTTTCCAGAACAAAGAACTTCTCTGCAAGGTGTTTGACTGAGGGGTAGTTCCTAATTTCTTGAGGTAGGGTGTTCCAAATGGATCTGAACCCCCTCTGATATTCCCTCATCTCTCTTAGGTTGATACAGAAGTGTATCTAGTCCTCTCTCGGAAGGCTGCGAATGGGGAATCTGGTCAACGGAAGGATTGTTTGGCTGACCATAGTTTAGGGGTAGCGATTGTGAGCTTGAGGGAGTGGTTGAAGGGATGAAAAGGTGTGGGTTAAAATCAACAGCAGGTGAATTAAGGCAAGAAGGAAATGTCTGAGCATGGTTTTGGCGGGAGGCCAAAATAGGTTGGGAATCAGAGGGGTTATGGTTAAGGGAAACTGGGGAAGTGTGGGAAGCATGAACTTGTGAAACATCAAGGGTAGCAGGATTGGATGGCGTAGAGCAGGGCAAAGGTGCAGGAGGCAAACCCGAGGTAAGAGGTGTAGAAAGCTGACTGAGAACGGGTGGGGGGTGGGGGGTAGGAGGTAGCAGGGGGGAAAGAAGAGTTGGACTTACTCAAAACGGTGGTCTGGGTTTTCGATTTAGCCAAGATTTTAGGAATGGGTGCAGAGGCCGAAGGTTGGTGTTGGGCTTGCAAAACACGTTGGGCCTGGCTTGGGTTTGAATTTCGAATTCGATTTCGAATCACGCCTTTGCTCGAATCACCGGTTCTAAGAGAGCTTGCTGTTGGCGGCGAAGTCAACTTAGATTGCTGCCGGTGACGTTTCTTAGTAACAATGAGCCATTCACCATACTGTCCGTCTGGGGGGGAAGTAGAAGCAGGAGGGGGTGGGATTTCACCGTCAACCTTGAGCAAACTTAGGCATTGGTGTTTCTTATGTCCCAAACGGCCACAAGAGAAACACAAGGACTGTATGCCCTCATAAGCAATTTTTTGAGAGAATCCATCAATGACCAGAGAGGGGGGGAGTGGTTGCTGTAGATTAAATTCAACACAGAGACGTGCAAACCTGCCCCTAGATCCTGCAAGTGTAGTAGCATCAATCCTAAGGAGTGAGCCAAGGGAATTCCCAATTCGCTGAAGGATGTCTTGAGTGAAGAATTCAATTGGTAATTGGGGAAGGCGCAGCCAAATAGCAGTTGTTGAGGGTGTTGCCATTTCAGGTCTGAAATTAGGGACCCAATGCCGGACAGAAAGAAAACGCCCGCCAATGAACCATGGCCCTTGCTTGAAGATTGTGGAGAAGTCTTGTTCTGAGGACAGCTTGATGAGAAGAAAGCCCTTATCAAGGTCAATAACATCGAAGTCACTCGCAAAGTTCCATGCTTGCTTGAGTTTCTGAACAACATAAGCAAACTCCATTGGAGGCCCAAATGGCTTAACGATCACACTGTGGCGCCATGGCTGGTAAAGGCGCTCTTTCTCCTCGGGGGTGAGGGAGATGGTGAGGACATTTTCCCCAGATGGGTGGCTGATGGGGAAATGGTTAGAGGCTTCGTTGACCGAAATAGAAGTGGTCGGAGTGACAGTAGTTGAGGGGGAGGGTGAAGGAGGACGAGCATCTGAGTGGTTGGCTGGGTTTTGTGGGGATTGAGGAGGAGGTGGAATGAACGATTGAGAAATGATGGAATGGGGATGGCCAACGAGCTTGTCTCTGTAGGTGCTGGGGGTCAGAGATGCGGTCGGAGGGATTTTGATGGTGGTTGGCGAGGAGGGGCTAGAGGAAGGGATTGTGGCGGTGGTGGGACAAGGTTCGGTGGAAAGGATTGAGGCGGTGGTGGGACAGGGCGACATGGCTGCCTATCGTCTTTTGCGGAGGTTACTGTTCCACCTTTTTGCAAATGGGTAATTTAGTGACATATCTGGCTGGTATAGTAACTTAAACCATTAGATAATATGACAAATCCCTGATATTAATCATATTGGTTTCGCAATATGGTTTAGTTAAGATTATAAAATACAAATTTCTTATTTTAGTCCGAATATGAGAATTATGGAAAGAAGGAGATCAGATCTTTGTAACCCCTTTTAATTTTTTGGTACAAATATTTATAACCAGTTCCTCAACGTTCACTTAAGCGAGCCCTGTTCTGCTTTGTAGTTTATACCCAAAAGATATGACGAGGTTTCTTTGAAAGTATTCTCCTCGTTTTCCATTAGGATTACAAATCACGGGTCCACCACAAAATAGCATTTGGAAAGACTTGTATAAATAATATGATGAATGAAGGCATTACAATGGATTTGAGTTACAGAGAATAACGAGGGAAGTTAAAATGTAGACATGTTAAGAACACTGGATGGAAATTGGAATTCATGGGTGTTGACTCTGTATATTATCTTAAAAATGTATCTAAAGAAAAAGAAGTTACAATGAAGAAAGAGATGCCTTAGTAATAGCAGGTGGCGGAAGGCTGGCAGTCGAATTATCTGTCCAATTCTTTTCACCCCAGTGCCATAACATACTCTCCCAAAAGCAGAAATCTTCAAAACACGTCTTCAAACGTTTGTCTTTAATCTTAATCTTCCAATGGCCATCAGTGTAATTTGCTTTCTTAGCTTGCCTCCTATCCCACTCTAATGCTGCCTTTTGTTTAGACCTTAGCAAGCAAAATTTCTGTAAGTTTTCTGGCATGGCATCATGCACATTCCACCAAGTTTTATGGGCAACATCACTTGCAAACTCTTGCAAAATGTCCACATTCCAGTTGCAGTCATAGTCACGGAAGCAAAGCCATGGTTTGTTACCCAGATAATGAAGGACATAGAGGATTGGGGGATCAGCTCCAAAGAGACGAATCTTATTCTGTTTAATCTCTTCCTCATCACCTTCCCAGAAGTGCTTTAAGAAGTTCATGTGTTTTGGGATCCGGTGCCACCAGGTGAAGACTTCATTCAGATATCCTTGGTCCCCGCCATTGTAGGATTCAATCTCATTGATGTGATCCATTAACAGCTGGAATGTACAATTTGATGGCTCAACCACCATCACACCTGAGTTGAATAGCGTAGCATTGTTTCCAGTTGCAGATATTTCTGGCATCTCAAATAAGAAATCAATGTTCCTCAGTATAAGAAGGTCAGCATCAATGAAAATGATCTTGTCATAATCTGTTAACTGCCAAAGACGAAATTTGCTGTAGTTCCATTCATTATAAGCCTCTGGTTCAGCTTTTGGATTCCGGATTCTTTGGATTGTATGAATCTTCCATCCAGCAGCCTCCAAGCCACCTCTGTGATATTCACTGATTGATTCATCAACAAGTATCACAAGATCCCGTGTGGAGCCTGCCATACGGATGCTCTGAGCTGCAGTAATGGCCCCACAAACATATATGTGTGCAGAGTGAAGGATTGTTGCATATGCTTCACGGTGTGGTCTTTCAGAATAGAAATACTCTGTTCCAAAACATTGAGTTAGTTTTTCACCTTTAAGTACTTTAGACCAAAAGTAATTGAAACTTCTTTGAGCAGGGTGCACATATATTCATATCAGAGGTAGTGGACTTAAACTTAGATCAATCACATCAAGTTTATTCCAAACTAGGAAGAAAACAACAAAATTAAAGAAAACAATTACATAAAAGTAGGGGAGTTAACGATCTTCCTAAAACCACCTTCACTCATAATCTACAAAGAAGATAGACATGATTTGTGTTATACCAGTTTAAAGCTCACTGTAAAGTATAAACATCACTAACACTAATCTACTACCATTGGTTCTTAGAAACAATCGTCTTGCACACTGTGACCTAATATAGGGAGTCAAGTGAAGCATTCAATTTATCCAATAAAAAAAAAAAAGGAGCTTGTCCCACTGAGTTTGATCAAGAAATGATAAAAATTGAACTAGCAGGCTCCAATTTCACTTAAAACCAGAAGGAAATGTATGAACAAACAACTCCGTGAAAATAGTTCAAAACTGACCTTTAGCTTTGAGAGGAACTGAAAGTTCACATGACCCTACTGGGAGTCTTATCACTTCTCTCAACTTATGCAGGTTTGGCTCATAAAGCCACACATTTCCCTCACGTAGAACAAGGTCCTTGCAAGTAAAAAGATTTGCGATGGGAAAGCAGTCAGTCACCAGAAGCACCCGCACTGGGTGAACCCCTTTGGCTGAGGCAGCAAGCCTTGCAGCTGCAAGCTGCAAATGCAGCCGAGCCACATCCCTTGACCACCTTCTTGACTTCATGCATGGAAGCTTGACAGCAATAAGATCAATTCGTGGTTTTCCAGGAACCAGGAGACTGGGCAGAGAAGGACAAGTTGGAACCTCAAATTCTTCTTCTTCATCTATCCATTCAGGGTACAGTGATTCCCAAGTAACATTACCTGAGACATGCTCTAACTGCAGAGAAACATGCTCAACATCTGGTATCAGCTCTTTCCAGTGATCAATCTCACTGATATTAAAGTTCAACAAACCAATCCCCTGGTACTCATTCCTGTCAGTCAGTTTCTCAATAACATTTGATATCTGATCCCAATTTATATCCAAGTTTGATATATAGCGGGGATCTTCAGAGGAATCTCCTATCCATCTCTCTACAAAACCAGGCCTGCATGTAACAGACTTCCCCTTCAAGTTATTGTGGCATAAAAAAAACCACAAGCATTAATTCATGTGCGGTTGTGCCCATGTTTATGTAACAGATTAAGATGAATATGAATGCATGATCAGATATGTGAATCAAAAACTAGTGTTCCATGCCTCTACAAGGAAACTCTCTATGACTCAATTAAAGCAGGAGAATCGGGATTCTTAGAGTATACTTCTAAAAAGTGGATTTAAGCATAAACATTTATATGGAAAAGAACACTCACTATAACATAAGGAGCAGTAATTTTGTTTCTTTCCTATCAAAAAATCTATTAGGATACCACAAGTTCTAAACGGAACAAGGAAGGAACAGGCAGGCAAAATAAATACCGAGATGCAAAATTGGATGGATGATCTGTATTGTAAACTGCTGGAGAGTGGAAGATGGTCAGAATACATCCCAAAAAAATAATAATCAGCACCGCTTTGAAGGCAAATATCTTGTAGTTAAAAATCCTCTGTCGAATGGGAACAGGAAGTGCCTTCTCAACATCTTTAGAATCCTTACTTCTTTGAAACGATCTTTCACCATAACAAAGCAATACAAGTCCATCAGTTCATGTCCATAAAGAAAACGAATAAGGTCCAAACGTCAATAACCAAAAATCCGAGGTATATGATACTAAAGACAGGTTGCAGGAGCAAGGAATGCTTGCAGTTTAATTCATTAGATATACTATATGTATTAGTTAAAGTAAACATAGAGATAAGAAAAAACATCAGAATTGTGATTGTTGTTTACCACAAATCATCCAGTACATGATATGAAAAAAAGACAAATATCAATATAGCCATATAACACCTCTCAAATGATAAGGCATACAGAGAGAATCTTAAACGAACATCAAGCAACTACTTCCAACGATAAGAAGGGAACCAAGTACCAACAGAAGCAGTAATCAAGGTGCTTACACTGAGAATGAAAGACCACAAATTGAAACTGAACATTGAATTGAATTGGATAGATCTCAGAAGCATTAAATAAATCGAGCAAACAATTTGCTTTGATCAACAAGCAGACTCAGTCAAACATAGAGTGCTTGATCAAAAAGCTGAATCTTGCAACTGGGAAAGAAGCAAAACAAACAGGGCAATGGATCAACAAGCGAGTTCGGGAAAATTCGCAAACTGGGTAAGCAGGAACCAGCTGCTTCAAAGCACATGGCGTCCCAAAATTCAGCAAACAATTTGCTTTAAACAACAAGCAGATTCAGTCAAACACATACAGTGCTTGATCAAAAAGCTGAATCTTGCAACTGGGAAAGAAGCAAAACAAACAGGGCAATGGATCAACAAACGAGTTCAGACAAATTCGCAAACTAGGTAAGCAGGAACCAGTTGCTTCAAAGCACATGGCGACCCAAAATCCAGCAAACAATTTGCTTTGAACAGCAAGCAGATTCAGTCAAACACATACAGTGCTTGATCAAAAAGCTAAATCTTGCAACTGGGAAAGAAGCAAAACAAACAGGGCATTGGATCAACAAGCGAGTTTAGGCAAATTCGGAAACTGGGTATGCAGGAATCAACTGCTTCAAAGCACATGGCGACCCAAAATCCATGATCCAATGAAATGAAATAGAAAATGAAGATAAGTGGTTGAGACAGAAACTAACGTTGAGAAGAGTCGGTGCCTGGGCTCGACTGGACTGGGGGAGGCTCCTCTCATCTTCGATCCAATTGCAGCATCTGAGGGGAGACAAGTAGGAGAGTTAAAAATGGCGAAAAATCACAAAAGGAGCATGGAGGCCGGAAAATATAATGAAGCTTGGTAGTTGGGACGGTGATTTCATTTGATGACTGGGTCTTGCTCAACGTTAGGGCCCAGTCAATTTGTTGTAAAGATTTTTTTTTTTTTTTTTTTACCTTAAATGACCAGTTTTGTTATCCTCCCACATATATATTTTTTTGTCCTTTCGTATATTAAGTTAATAATTTTTTTAATTATTTTAATTTATTTTACTAACATATCATGCAATCTACTAATAAGACATGCAGTAGAAGACATGATCTTTTATTTTTACAAAAAAAATTTCACTAAATTATTTAAGTTATTGATATTTTTATTAAGATCATATAATGTTACTTAGAAAAATACTAATTCTAAATGAATAAGTATTTATTTAGGTTGATCAAGCCCATCCCTTATGGCAAAAAAAAAAAAAGAAAAAAAGAGGAAAAAAACACTCATCCCTTCCTTTTATATAGGTTTGGGATCATTTGGTTCATAGGAAGAAACAAAAAATTCATCACTTATTAATGGAATAACATTAGTAAAAATGAGAAATTTTTAAGTAATGACATGTGGACAATTTATTTATAAAATTTTTATTTATAATTTTTATAACTTATTATGTAAATAGATGCATGTAATTTAATAAAATAAAAATAATAATAATTAAATAATATGTAATATTATTTTTTAAAAAAAGTTTATAATTATTTTAAAAAAAAATTTCAACACTTATCATATGTTAACTGCTGACAATCAGAACTAACATTTTTATAGGATCCTGAAATATATTTTGTTATAAGCATATTAAGGGCATCTTTGTTGTTATCAACTACTTATCATGGTTTTTTGTCTAACATTGACCAAGCATATTAACATCATAATGACAGAAGATATCTACCAAATTATTCTCAAAGAGGTTTAATTTAAGTTTGTGTGGCTATCATGTTGAGATAATTAAAGAAGAAAGGTGAGTGGTTGTTGAGGAACGTGTAAAAATAGCGCCTATTACATACCCAAAACTAATAAAGAATCATGCCCTGCCTCAATCATATGTAAATAAAAATGTACTGACGTCCCAACTCAATTGTCTTGCCCATTGTTCTGATATGGTAGTTGGAGATTTGATCCCATCTAATTATCTAATTTTATAATAATTGCGAATCTCATTATGACCCATCTAATCATAGTATCAAACCCCCTAAACACCAACTCTAATTCTTGCAGATTGCGAGCCTATATTTTAAACTCCAGAATAAAAATGGCAGGCCCGTACTGAACATGTTTACGTTGTATATAGACTGTAAAACAGGATTAAAAGGGAATTATAGAACCTGGGAAACATTTTATAGCCTAGACACTGATGTTTATATATTCAGTGGTAGTGAGTATCATGGATTAACAAATTTTTTTTTTTTTGAACAGGGTAAATATTGGGGATTTTGGAGGGAATGGGGAAAAATTGAATATAACTCAAGTAAAAATTATAACGTGGGGAGTTACCACTTATTCTATTCAAAGTTTTTTATCAAAATTAACTTAACATAGATATCACGTTAAATTTATTTCAATAATCTAGTTAACTACAAATTGTTCATATTGTTAATTACTAGAGCTTTTTCTTTTATATTTTTAAAAAAGGAGACTGTTGTTATTAGAGACTTAATATAAAGAAATTGGTGTTTTGCACTTTGTCTTACACTACCTGCAAATACCTTAACTTTATAATTGGTAGGGCTGTTACTATAACCTCATAAAGTTACTGTTAATGTTTTATAGTTTACACAAACTAGATTATAAAACAATTTTTCAAAATTAAAAACTTTATAATTAGTAGGGCTGTCACTATAACTTCATAAAGTTACTGTTAATGTTTTATAGTTTACACAAACTAGATTATAAAACAATTTTTCAAAATTAAAAACTATCACCTCATAAAGTTACTGTTAATGTTTTATAGTTTACACAAACTAGATTATAAAACAATTTTTCAAAATTAAAAACTTTATAATTAGTAGGGATGTCACTATAACCTCATAAAGTTACTGTTAATGTTTTATAGTTTACACAAACTAGATTATAAAACAATTTTTCAAAATTAAAAACTATCATTCTTCTTCTTCTTCTTCTTCTTCTTCTTCTTCTTCTTCTTCTTCTTCTTCTTCTTCTTCTTCTTCTTCTTCTTCTTTTTTTTTTTTTTTTTAATATGAGTATCTCAAAACCTAATTAGTCCCATAGTATATATAAACTACCCATATTAAGTAAATCTCCACCAATGAGTGATGCTGTGACTTACTAGAATTATTTACATCAGTGAAGCTCGGCATAAAAGACATTTTGTGTAGCCTGTAGTCGGTTGGTGATCGACAATCACGCCATATCTTCGATGAAATTCTTCTGTGAGAAACCAAAGTACTTGCTATGATATTGGTTTTTGATTTGAGTGGAGGAAAATAGTTTCTGGATCTTCTTTCATCATGCCCGTTTACTTTTTAAGCAAATTGAAGAATCTCACTTCTGGTGGTTTTCTTGTGATGGAAACCCATTTTGAGCATCTGGGTTAATCTTCATGCGTTAAGCTTCAGTGTTTTCGATATTTTTGTGTAATAAGTGATTTTTATTCGTCTACCCTCCACAATTTCACTGGCTTAATTGTGTTATTAGTTGAGAAAAGAATTATTTTTTCTTAAGCTGTTGATTTTGTTAATTTAGAGTACACAGATGGTTATTCCACCACCTATAAAGCCACCAAGAATTCCACAATTCCAAGCCCTATGTCCTGAAGATGCACTTCACAAACAAGTATGTTCATGCCCAAGTAATCCATGCACCAGCTGCAACCGTAGCTTCGTTTTCAAGCTCACGAGAGAAGGCCTTAAGATCAAGCATGGAATCTACTTGGAATGTTGCAGCTGCTGCCGCCAAGATTGGGAAGAAATTTGGGGAGTTGTTGCTCAAAGAAATTCTAGCCGTTTGAGTGTTCTTAACAAAATAGTCAATATCGTACTTGCATACGTGCTAATTTTACTATTGAAACTATATATATCAAATATCAAAATTTTTCATATACCGTTTCAAATTTATTGCTATAAATATATATATTTTTTTATAAGTTAAATATTAAATTTTAAAAATAATAATAAGAGAAATTAACATTTAAAACTATCATATTCTTATAAATTGAAAAAAAAATTAAAATAAAAACTTTATAAAGCATCCATAATTTTTTTTCTGAAACATTAAAATAATATTAGGAAATATAATAATGTTTTAGGTTTAATGTTATATAATTCACAATACAAAATACTTTTACAAAGGAAGGAATCATGTTTTTTAAATATAACAAAAATGCAAAAGATAAACCAAAACAAAACATTACAAAGAAGAGAGAGCAGCAATCGACAAGTACTGATAACTAGAAGTTTGAATATGAAATTATCAAAAGTGACTAAAAACGCACATTTTTAATCCCTTAACTTCTAATATATGCATATTTTTCATACTTCTATTTTAAGTTAAGGGATTTAAAAATGTGTATATTTAGACAAACTTAATAGAGTAACTAATAGAAGGATTAAAAATATATATTTTCATAGTTGACAGATTAAAAAAGTATATAAAAAAGTTAAAAGATGAAAATTATGTAAAATATTAAAGTTAAGAAGCAAAAATAACATTTAACCTTTTTTTAAATTCGAATTGATTTGTTCCAATCAATTTTTGGTGTATCGACCGGTATATAAAATATCGCCCCAATACATTGAAATTTGAAAAAAATGATTAAAATTTGATCAAAATGAAATTAAACATTATACCATTTTAGATTAATAAAAAAAATAATATGTATCAACCATACCAATTAGTACGAAATGATATCAATTTCTTTAGTTCTTAAAGAGAGGACAGAAGTATCATGGTAAGATGAAGGCTGTCATTGATTCTTTGAGTGGAGCAAGTGTCAAGTTGCTTTACTTTTATAAAAGGGGGAACGTTTCACAGGATGTTTGCCTCTTAGTTTTTACCCTTTGATTCAGAAACATTACATTGGTGAAACCTATGAAAAAGGTACTTGTCTTATGTCCTTGTTTCGGTACTGTTTATGCTCATACCGCTAAATGCGGTTCACTGAAGTCCCCCCCCCCCTCTCTTCCATCTTTAAATGGACATTAATTTGCAGAGAAAGCAAATAGAAGAGAATTTGAAGGGAGAGTTGATTTGCCAATTGAAATTGCCATCAGTGAACATCCTCAGACGTTTGGCTTGTTTAATAGATTATTGCATCCTTGAGCCGCATTGTCCCTCTCTTTATTTTTCCTTGATAATTAATGTTCACTCATGTAACATTGGTTTAGGCATCAGTGATCTCTACCTTTCAGTTATGGCAAGATTTGTAAGATGAGTTTACTTCTAATTTGATTAAATAAAATTAAACCAAAGTTATTAGGTCAATTCAAATTCTATTCGAATCAGGTTAGCTATATTTTTGTAAAAATTATATAAGAAGATTTTTTTGCAGAAGTGTCAAATCATAAAATCATACAAAATATTTATAAAAATATTTAAAAATTGATAAATTTCATCAAGTTTGGAAGGTTAATACTTAATAGTAAAGTATCTACTTTAGAAGCTGCAAGTTTTGGAAATTTAGAAGTTGAAAATAACATTTAGAAATATCAAATGACATTTTCAACAAATCGTGTTTGATCTTGTTCAATTTATGCAGCAGAAAACAATCTTTTAAGGGCATGTTT